CAAACATACAGAGGGAGACTGGGACTTAGCATGATGTGTCCCTAGAAAGGGCTCCCACTGGGTGTGTGCTCATAGTCACTTAAGGAGAATTAAGAATCTAATGAACTGAATCAGTTGACATCACTGCTTCATTTATTGAAGTTGAATAGAGTCTATCAGGCTCTAGGATCACTGTATCGTGGAAAATTATTTTTTGCTTCCTTTAGCAAAGTTCATTTGAATATTCTGGTCCTGCTGTAAGAAAGCTAAGAGAGAGCTGATTCTTCATACTTATGCCAGAGTGCCAAGGAGGAGAGTAGGGTGGTAGTGGGTGGCAGGGAGTGATATCAGTAATCAGTGAGAGAATCAGGCAAATAAGGATATCCAGAGACTAATATTTACTTCCTTCTAGCATCAACCTTAGAGGTCCAAAGTGATATTTTTATTCAGGTAGGTAACTGTTCCTGACATGGCGATCCCAGCTTGCAAGGACTCCACTGCCCTCTTCATCATTCACATCACTTGTACACTTACGTGGATGCATCAAGCACTTTGCATAGCTCCTAGGTGTGTACATTGTTCATTTTAAGCTATTTTCTTGCTGCTGTTGCTGCATTTAGCCTCTCTTATTTTGTTTCCTAGACTGGGAAAGAAAGAAAACAGTTTTATCTTTAGTAGACGTCTTGGGAAAAGTTAGAAACTTGGGAAAAGTAAAGAAAACTTATCTTTAGTAGATGTCTTGTGAAAAGTTAGAAAACAAGTGCCTCTTGCTAGTGACAGATAAATAAATCCACATTTTTCAGTATGGTTAAAGTAAAATTATGACATTTCCAAGTACTTACATGCCAAATTCTGTATCAGTTTATACCCTTATTCATCCCAAAACATTCATTGAGCACAGACTGAGTGCTAGGCACTGTGCTGAAGACACAGCTGTGACCCTCAGAGTACCTGCCCTTGAGGAACTCTTGGCCCAGTGAGAAGGGCAGATGTGTAGACTGATGACTTAGTGAGTGTGTGATAATCAGAGAATCAAGGAATACTGAGTAGGCATTAGTGGGAGGGGAAGAGTGATCATGATCAGCATATGCCTCCTCCAGTGTTGACTCCTAAGCTGAGTCAAAAAGGGGCCTGAATTCTAGGCCCAGAAAAAGGAAGTGGGAGAAAGGAGTGAGGAGAGTACTCTGGCAGAGAAGGGGACTTGAGCAAGGGTATGGAAGTGAGGATAGGATGCTGTGTCTCCAGAGAGCTAAAAATAGCTCACTGTTGCTAGGCTGTAGGTTGGAGGTGGAAATGACAAAGGAGGGAGCTAGAGAGAGGCAGATTTTGAATGATCTTCGATGCTCTGGTAAGGAATGGGAACTTTAGTTATTGGGAGACACTGGAAAATCTTAGGCAAGTAGTGTTGTGATCTGATTTTAATTTAGATTCATTCTTCTATGGAAGATGGAGCTGAGGAATTGAAGACTAGAAGGGTAACCTGTTAAGTTATTGTAAGCAGGTAGGCGGGTAATCACGAAAGGCAGATCTGGCAGAATGGTACCAGGGATCAAAGAGGAGAACACTCATTAGATGTTTAAGAGGGAAAATCTCTTGGACTTGGTGATGGAATCAATTTTGTGGATGACTTGGATAATTTGTAAGCTGCTAACTTGGGAAATACACCATCAACTGGATTTCATAGAACTGTCTGGAAACCTAAACCCTTTACAGAGTTAAATAGGATATCTGGAATTTTCCTTATGTATACCATTTTGCTCTTATTCTATTTACTTGTGCTGGAGACAAAAAGATTTTAAAAAATAAAGGTAATATTACAGCCATGTCCTACTATCAGACATTCTCCTTATTTGCCTGCTTCTAAAAATGGACATACAAGGAAAATGTGCCTGAGAATGTTTTTACAATAAGATATATAATTAATTTGTCATCGTTTGAAGTTAGTGAGAAAAATTGCCCTACCTCAGCAATGAATTTCAGACATTTGGTGAGCTTTGTGGTCAGATAATACCATTGTTCTCTACTCCTCATTTCTGCTTCTGCAGTCCAATTGAACAGATTCTCAACTGACATTTGGTGTCATACATGAATAGAAACAACCTCAAGCCATACGTGCTTTATTTGGAAATGAATAAAAATGTAAAATATTTAGAAAATTTTGGAAATTATTGCTAATAGGACATTATTTAGAAATCAACCAAATAGGCTATATAGATGAGAGATTTAGATATTTTTTGAAGGAAAAAGTTAACTTATGCTAATATAGTATTTAAAAGACCTGGATACAATGTAAATTATCTGTGTAGATATTTGAATTGGGAGTCCCATCTTTGTAGAAGTGCCCATTCGTTTGAGGGAACCAGTTCTCTATGGTTATATCTCTATAATGGAAAATTTAACTATCAATGGGCAGGAAAAGGCTGTTCAAGCACATCTTGTGCATGAGTGACAGAAATAGAAAATGAGTAAAAATGTAATCATGTTTGCTTATTTTTGCCTTATAGTGGAAAAGGAACAGTGCTTTTTACAGCATATTTTTACCTGAGGAACTTTAGGGATGGAGTTGGTTTTCTAAGTGTTTATAAAAATGTCTTTGCTGGAGGGGAAGTCAGGAGTTTGTAAATATTTGTGTTTTGTAATTTCTCAGGTTCGTTTGTTTCCAAATTTGCCTAGATTTACTTCACCTTGGAGCACCTGCCAGATAGGATGTTTCCTCATACCTGTGTTTTAGAATAAGGAAGCCTTGTAGAATAATAATAGCAGTACTAGCTAAAAAAATCTGTTGAATGCTGCCTATGTGCCAGAACTTGTACTAAGCATATTATAAGCAGTGGCCTAGAACAGGTAACTGACTAGCTCATAGTTATGTATCTCTGATAATTCACTAAACCAGGGGCAGGATCCAGATAACTAGGGCCAAAGTTTTGTTTTTAACCACTTCTGGAGTTGGAACTGAGACTGAAATCTGGAACAGTATTGATGTTGGATTATAGATATAGCCATGATCTCAGGAGACTCACTGTTCTGCTAGAAGTCATGGGAAGATTCAGCAGTTCTGAGAACTGTTTAAGGAAGTAGTATAATCTTGTTTACTATTTTTAAAATATATAGGAACTTTATAACACTACATGTAAACATTTGAAAAGAGAAAAAGTCTCAAGTGAATAAGTTAAACTCCTGCCTGGAACAACTAGAAAAAAGAAAAGAAAAATAAACATAAAGCAAACAGAAGGAACTAACACAGAAATTAATGAAATTGAAAAAAAGAAAAATAGAGAAAATCAAAGAGAAAGCTTGCTCTTTGAAAAGATCAGTAAAACTGACAAACCTCTAGCAATGCTGACAACCAAAAAAAATGAGAGAAGTCACAAATTACTAATATCAGGAATTAAAGAGGGGATATCAATATAAACCCTACAGACATCAAAAGGATAATAAAGGAGTAATATGAACAACACCACATATAGATTGACAATTTAGATGAAATTGTCATTGTTGATCAATTCCTCAAAAAGTATAAAATACCACAACTCACCCAGTGTGAAACAGATAATTTGAATAGTTCTGGAACTGTTACGGAGATTAAATTCATGGTTTAAAACCTCCTGAAAAAGAAATCTGCCCGTATGGTTTCAGTGGAGAACTCTACCTATTCTACTTTTAAAGAGCAGTAAAACTAATTCTACAAATCTCTTCCAGAAAAATAGGAAAAAAAGAATACTTTCCAATTCATTCTATGATACCCAAACCAGACAAATACTATGTGTGCAAGAAAACTGCACACCAATTTCTCCCGTATAAACACAGATTAAAAAAACAATTCTTTAACAAAATATAATTTAGCAGTAAACAAGTGGAGTGTATTCAGAGGTGCAACGCTGGTTCAGTATTTGAAAACCAATGTATTCCATCATATGTGAAGGCTATTTGGAAAGCTTGGAAAAATGTTTTCTTCTCCATGGCCATGCATTCCAATGGAGGAGGTAAGCAGGGGGCAAGGGAACTAACATTCATGAGGCTCCTAATGCGGAAGAGCTGTGTTGAGTCTCTAGGAAGATGACATACATGTGTAACCTGCTGTGTAGGTCCTTTTGGAATTCACTGCTGAAAAGGGCCTTAACAGATGACTTGATAATATGCTGAGATTTCTCCGTTTTTCCCCCTCAAACATTTGTAAATCTTCCTATGAGTGCTCGCTCAGCTGGGGAATTGCTTCTGGAGTCCAAGTGCTGTTGATCCTTTAGAATTTATGTAAACACTATACCGTTGAGACAAAAGAGGACAGACAAGCAAGCCCTCTTCTAGTGAGGGTCGACAGCCTAGACGTGCTTCAGAGCTTGAGGAGTCAGGACTTTTTCTTTGTACAGCACAAATAATTTCCCTGGGTTTTCTTCCTGTGAGATTGGGCACCCCTGGGGAGGGGAGTGTCGAGCAGAATTACTGAGTAATGATTCTGGGCAGCACACTGTTTCACTGAAGCAGAGAGATGGCACTGCGTGTTTTACGTCCCCGAGGCTCGGGACTGTGCCATTAGGTTAACAGTTTAATGGTTAACAGACTCGCAGCGGAGCGACTTGGTTACACAGTGACATTCAGGGCTGCCTGATCTGCCCTGATTGCGAAATCGCGGCGAGGGTGGCGTGCGGCCCCTGGGCCCCCGCGGACCCCTCCTGGGACCGCCGCCCCGCGGCCCCACGCGGGTGCACCACGCCGGGGGCCATCCGCCCCCTGCCCCGCGACCTTCTGCGCAGATGCAAGAGAAACCCCGCCCCAGCTCGCCGCGCCCTCCGCGCGCTCCAACCGCCGTGCTCCCGAAGGGCCCCTTCTGCAGCCAGTCGACGCCCGCGCGCTGGGCTGGGGCGCGCTGGGGTTGGCGGACGCTGTCGGCCGGGGGCGGGCCCCTTGAGTGACACGCGTTCTGTCCAGTCACCGGAGGCTGTGCGCCACCGCCCCCTCCGCGGCGGGGGCCGCCCTGCTGCGGGCGCTGGGTCGGGGCCCCGGGAATGTCCCGGCCCCAGCCGGCTGAGACGCGCCCTCCAGTTCTCCCGGCTCGGCTGGTGTTTGCACGGCCTGAGGCTCGCCGCGTTCCGAAATGGCCGAGCAGCCGGACCAGACTGTCAAGTACTACACCCTGGAAGAGATCCAGAAGCACAACCACAGCAGGAGCACCTGGTTGATTCTGCACCACAAGGTGTACGATTTGACCAAGTTCTTGGAGGAGGTGAGTTGGAGGGACGTGACGCCGGCTGGAGTTTGGGGTTTCCGTGAGGCGAGTGGTCTGTCCGCAGCGCGGCGGGGTTGACGTGTGCGACTGTGAGGCATGCACTCACCCGTGCGTGCGCACCCGTGTTTGCATACCTGTGCTTACACACCTGGGGGCGCCCCGCAGTCTGCACGCCTGTGCGCGCACGCTTGGGAGCGTCCCGAGGCGCGTCAGCCGGCCTCGCTGCCGGGCCAGCCCTTTGAGAAGCCCGCGGCGCGCCGGCACCCGGCAGAAGCTGCCTCCCTCCGCGGGCGCGGGGAAGAGCGCCGCTCAGCGCTCAGTGGGGAGCAGGCGCGTCTGGACCTGTCTTCCTGGGCGAGGGCGCTGCTGCAGAAGGGTTTTGAAAGGTCCCTTTGTGAGTTTTCGTAAAGCGGGGGCTCTGTCGTTCCGGGAGTGGATTCCCGTGCAGGCCGCCTGGAAACCACGCATCCTGAGAACGGTAGCATCGCACAAGCCAAGACCCCGAGCTCCGGGTCGGGGGGCCGCACGCGCTGTCGCCGGCACGCACACGCCCGCCGCCACCCTCCACGCGCACCCTCTCCCCGGGAAGGAGCGCCGTGATTGCTAGCCGCTTCCAGTGAGGACTTCGCGGCGAGGTACGGTGCGGGACTCGGGGGCCTAGCAGGTCGGCCCCGCCTGTGTGTGAGGCTTGGAGCGGGGAGAGGCGCTGAGAGCCGCCAGCAGGACTTGCCGGTTAGCTTTGGAAGTTGTAAACTAACTTTGCCGTATTAAAGGAAGACATCCCTATGATAAGGTTCTTTGCATTAGGTTATAATTATTGCAGCAAATTCTAAGGTGCCTTTCTTTGCTCCCTCTGGATTTGTTTTACCACTGGGTGACTTTGAACCATAAATCTGAACGCAACACTTAACCCTCCTTCGCTGCCCCCTCTCCCTACTCCCGCCAAACAAATGAGAATACTTAGTGATGGGAGTTTTTTTACATAGTTGGAGAGGAAATGAAAATAAAAGCCTGGTCTTAGCTGAGTCACAATTTACATCAAGGGACTTTTGGGGAGCACTTTTTTAAAAAACTGTGTTTAAAAAAAGCTGAAGACATTTATTAATAAGATATTTTACTCCTCAATTGTCATTTGGTGGTGTGCCAGAAGATAAAATAGTGTTCCGACTTAGAAGTGGTTTATAGTGGGGAGGCACACCTGATCTGTCCTTTCTCCAGAGCCACAGGCGATAGAGCATCTGGAGTTCACAGCTCTGCGTCATAACATCAGGGCTAATTGACGCCAGAGGTCTACTTTCAACTGTTCCTTCTTCCCCTCCCATGGCATGTGTAATTCTAGAATTTTAAGAGTCAGTGTGTGCTTTCTTCGTTTCTATCTGTAAAAAAGAACAGCATTTATGAAAGAATAATAGGATATTTTTTGAAATATTTTTTTCCCCTTTTTTGCGGGTTCTGTTCTGTACATTGTGTTGTACAGGTGGCTGCCTGGCCTCTCCCCCACCAGATGTCAGCACCCCCCTCCTCAGTTGTGACAGTCAGAATGCCTCCATAGGACACCAAGTGTCCAAAAATCACTCCTAGTAGAGAATCACTGTCCTAAAAATGCATTTTGCATAACTTTTAAGGAAGAGAAGATTACTAAATTTTAAAGCACTTACATTTCATTCTTATGAGGCAGGAAAGAGAATTGCACAAAATTTTCTGAGTAAAATTGTAAGAGATGCAAATAAGCTGTTGGGTGGGTAAATTAGCTGAGGACCAATTCCTTTATTTTATTGTTTTCTATACCCTGAAAGTAGCTTGAGGAGAAAGTGTTAGGTAATAGGTAAAATGTAGTGAAATGAGCTTGGCACTAACATTTGATAACTAACACAGTGAAATAACTAAAAACTATTTATAGTGAGATAAATAAAAACAAGTTTATACTTGTTTCCTTTTCTCAGTTGGTCCTTGGTAAAATGCTCCCTGTAGTAGCCTGCCTGGGACTTGAGTTTGGGGCACCATTGCTCTCTGGTACGTTCAGTATCTTCTGAGCTTTTTTGGGTATGTGTCCCTCGGTAGATTACAACCCGAGAGGAAGACGCATCATTTCTGTTCCCAGGAGCTTCCGTTGGAGGAAGCAGGACTAGCACAGGAAACAGTGCTGTGCTGGGGTCCACCAGGTCTAGTTCAGTCGGGAGCGGACCCCGGAGGGCGGTGTGGGGCCTCGGGTGGGAGCTCCGTAAAGAGGGCCTGAAGTCCACAGTGGGAGCGTGGAAAGGACAACACAGATGCACAGAGCGGGGTCTGGATTAAGGTAGCAGAGCAAAGTGGCTGACATTTTACAGGTGGACCCACTGGCAGGAGGGCAGGCCTCTCTGGGGTGATACCCCGTCCTAGGATCCCTGCCCATAGCTTCCTGCGTCTTAAACACAAATCCTCTCCGCTTCTGTTGCCCATTCTGCCAGGTGTAATTCTTCCTAGATCCCTCCTGTATCCATTACTTTATTCTGCCAGTGCTGTTTATCTCATAGTTTCCTTTGAAACAGAGAAAGGGGCCCAGGATATCTGTCTCTTCCTTCCTGCCCTGACACTGTCATCATTTTAAAAGCTCCAGGATTTCATGAAACTTTGTATGTTAACTAAAGAATGTTCTGCTTTCCCTAATTTACTGAAGTATGAAAGGTTTTTCTTTTTTCTTTTGGAGCGGGGGGGGGGGTGGGCTTCCTACCTCTAAAGTGAACTTTCGATCATTGTGGGCTCTAGATCTCCCTCTACTATGAATTCACCCATCCGTATGGACAACAAGACTTTTCTTGGTGCTCCTTTCAGAATATTATATGTTCATGTGCACATCTGCATTCATGTTGAGAAAACGCCCCAAGTGTGATGGGCGGAAGAGGGTATTGGTTACCTACACTCTCTGTGCCTCAGATCCCTTACTTTAAGGTAAAATGGGAGGATGATAGTAGTGTCTACTTCACAGGGTTATTATAAGAATTAAAATAATGCTGGGGCGCCTGTGTGGCTCAGTCGTTAAGCGTCTGCCTTCGGCTCAGGTCATGATCCCAGGGTCCAGGGATCGAGCCCCACATCAGGCTCCCAGCTCGGTGGGAGGCCTGCTTCTCCCTCTCCCACTCCCCCTGCTTGTGTTCCTGCTCTCGCTGTCTCTCTCTGTCAAATAAAATCTTTTAAAATAATAATAATAATGCTGGTTAAACACATAACGCAATACCAGACACGTGGGTAAACGCAAACTCCTGTTCTAGTTCAGGGAAGGGTGGGCTGGTGGCTTGTTTCCTGTAGTATCCTATGTAGCTGGGTGTTAATAGGAGATTTCAGGTAAAGGTGTAAATCTGGCAGGTGATGTTGAAATGAGAAAGGATTATAAAAATTATCTCCTTCCAGTCAAGAGCACAGGTGGAGTTTTTAAGTTGTGCAATGAACTCTATTTCTTGAAATAATGGCCTTAAAAAACTGGTTTGTTGTCCAGGGGGAGGGTAGGCACCTGAGAGGGCGGGCCGGCTCTTTATTAATGGCAAGCGAAGTACCAGCAGGTGTTCAGTTACTATCTGATGTTGACCTACAGGATTATGACCTTTGTTGCCTGCATATTTTGGAGTAGGTTTTTTTTTCCCCAGTCCTGAGTTCTAGTTTTTAAATTTATTTTGGTGCAGTTTGGGTTTGTCTTACCTGATTATATTATTAGCAGGGCTAATGACTATAGAACTTTGAGAGACAGTTACATGAAATGAAAACGTAGGCTTTTGGGGCTGCGAGGAAAAAAAAATGGTTTGCATTTCCCTTTCTTTTATTTGGGCAGCAGTGTGTATTCAGTTTTTTCAGAGCTGTGGGAGGGGAGAGGAAAGCATCTTATAATTGATGAAGTTATATTAACTTGCTTTCAGTTCCAGTCAATAGATGTTTGATTTATGAAATTGGCATCTTCCTAATAGAGGAGAATGCCTTTGTGTCAAGTTGTCCCCTCCTTGTTTCTGTAGAACATTTTCTGGTCGTCCTGGGATTCTAATGCTCTGTAGCTGTGTCTTGGATATCCTTTAACAGCATTCTGCTTCACAAAGCTGTCAGCTCCTGGCTCCTCGTTTTTGCTTTCCGAGACTTTGCATTCATAATAGCAAGTTTTGATGTGGGGACTTACTTTTTGCTTATTTTCCTTGAACATGGCTGCCTACTTTGCAGAAACCAGTGGTTCCGATCCTGGGGGGCCTCAGTTCCCTTGGACCCAGGAAGAGAGTGGGTACTTGAAACTCATGTCCTTAATTCTGAAAAACACAGAAGACTAGACATATATCTTTACCCTTGATATGGGGTGACATATTTAGGGCTAAGATCCTAAGTGCCTTTGCTTTTTTCAAGGAGGTTTGATAATACTCTGAATCTGATACTACTGAAGAGCTGTGGTTGCAAATATGTCTTTGATGAATATAAAGTAGGAATGTTATTATTTCACATATGTAGTTTGGTAATATAAAGGGATCCTTAGGGGTAAAGGTGGCTCAGGCATCTTGGGTAAACAGGTGGCAGAGCCACAAGGCTACTTGGGGTATGTGAGCCTATAGGCAGGCCCTCTTTTATATTTCTGCAATTTTTTTTTAAAGATTTTATTTATTCATTTGAGACACACAGAGAGAGAGTGCATGAGCAGGGAGAGAGAGAGGCAGAGGGAGAGGGAGAAGCAGGCTCCCCACTGAGCAGGGAGCCTGTTGCGGGGCTCAGTCCCAGGACTCTGGGATCATGACCTGAGCCAAAGGCAGACGCTTAACCATCTGAGCCACCCAGGCGCCCCTATTTCTGCAATTGTTTTATTGGTAACTTTTTGCCGCTTTTGAGAAGAGGTTTCAGGAGTACTTGTGAACTACTCTGTTTTGAAACTAAACAACAGAAAGCAACACTTGAGATTATTAACATTTGATTTTTTTTATCTTTAAGGTGGATGGAAATTCCAAAGGAAGGGAGAATAGATTATGCAGGCCAGCTTGGCTAAATCAAGGAGCAAATAGTGTTCATTTCTACAGAATGCAGGTATCTGTTATTCCAAAAGTCCTCCAGAACAATAGAAGACAAGCAGTGGGTAACCTTTTTTTTTTTTTTTTTAAGATTTTATTTGAGAGAGAGAGCGAGCATGTGCATATGCACAAACTGGGGGAGGAACAGAGAGGTACAAGCCGACTGCCCCCTGAGTGCAGAGCCCCACGCGGCGCGGGGGGAGGGGCTCGATCCTATGACCCCAGGTCGATCTTGACCTGAGCGGAAATCAGGAATTGGAGGCTTAATCCACTGAGCCATGAGGCCCCCTCCAACGGGTACCTTTTAATATAATGGAGTTTGAACAACCCAGGTCCTGCTAGGTACTCTAAGTGTTGGATGGGGGTTAAGAAAACTAGGTCTCATCTTAGACCTGTTTTGAGGGGAGTCAGGTAAAATCTCTGGATCATGTTCTTCATTCTTAAATGGGGACTATTCTGTCCCCTGTAACAAGTTTGTGAACATTAGAAGAATATATGTGTAAGCACTTGGAAAGGTATATAAATATTTTGATTAAGATAAAGTTTTCTTATAAATTGTTAAAATTTTGTTATATGGAGGGTTCAATATTTATTTAGTAGGAACACACACCAAATTATAATGTTAAAAGCAAAAATGGTTCAAAGTACAAATACTCGCTTGAAATATAATTTTTGAGGACTGTGCTGTGCGTGATGGGTATCATCTCTTGCTCTTAAAAATACAACTTTATTGCTTTTGGGGAAAAGAACACATGAATACTCTAAGGAATTGAACAGTGTGGAAAAGAGCAAGGGAAAAGTCAAAACTCGCAGAGTTTCCACTGCCTGTGGTGACCGCTGTGAATTTCTGGATGAACAGCCTCCTGATGGCTTTACACACCTCCACCCTTGCACAGGGGATTTGTTGTACATAAATGATAAAATATTCTGCGTGCTGTTTGGTAATCCATCCCATCCTCCTATATGGGGAGGGCACCATTCTGTGTCAATAAATTATATTCTTCCTGGTGCTTTCTTGTTAGGTAGATGTGTTGTAATTTATGTAACCAACCCTTTCTTTTTCTCTTTTTTTTTTTTTTAACACATTTCATTGTTCAGTTTGCCTCCTGTGATTGTCTCCTTAGGTAAGTCTCTGTAAGCGCATTGCTGGGTAAGAAGTTACATGCTTTGTGTGTTTTGTTGCATGTTCCCGGAGTGCCCACAGTGATCATACTAGTGGCCACAGCCCCGCCTTACATTCCAGTGAGACTTGCTCTCCCCAGGGCTTTGTTTTCTTTAGTGAGTGAGAGAAGACCTAGTTGATTACCCTCCTCTCCTGAATTATTTGGGTGTGTATTTTTCTCAGCAGGGGCAGGGTATGGAAACATTGTTTTCTCCTTTAGCATCTGCATTTTCTTAAAAATGCAGCTGTAGCAAGTAACACCTTGTTTATCCTAAAATTTCCAGCACTAGTCCAGTTTGGAGCACTTAGGAACGTGGCCTGCAACAGCATAATGAGGATGGAAATAGCAGTGGCTCACTGCCCTTCTCTGTCTTGATGAAGTGTGCTTCTTTTCTGTTATCTTTGAATCTGGTTTTCTTGGGAGCACCTGTTTATGTGTCCATATTTAGTAACTGGCTGCTTGTGTCTTAGACCAGGAGAGTGAATTGAGAAATTCTACTCTGGGCAAGTAGAATTTGGTCTGAGCAGCGTGTTGGTAAGTGATCTCTGCTCACTGGGAGCTGACATCTCGTGGAGGACAGCGAGAAGTCACGTTCTTGGTGCAGAGTTGTGTCTGTGGTCAGGCCCCTGAGGTCCCCGTGTCCAGGAGGATGGCCCTGAGCCAGCACTGCTGCTGGGGAGGAGCAGGATGCGAGGTGGGTGGCATTCGGGGCTCCAAGCCCAGTCAGGGGCCTTCTGTACTGGCTTTCGGGGGGGGGGCGACCTGTTGCTCCTCGGCAGTGAAAGCCTAGAGCGTGGACTTTCCCACCCGTGTCTTGGAGGGCCGGCTGTTGCTTACCATGGATAGGCTGTTCACTGAGTTTCGCACAGCTGTGTCGAAATTGGCCGGGACACAAAATATACCCAGCCTGCTTTCTCCTCCTTCTGTCTTCAGAAAGCGTTAACTAAATGTCATGTGTACTCCCTCCCTTGGTAGAGATCCCCAGTGGACTCATGGTAGAAGTGAGAGCAGGGGACACTCATTGAACGTTGCTTGGCACCAAGTATGTGCTAGATAGTACGCTGAGTGCTTTTTGTGCACAAATCCCTCCTTTGCATTTGTACTTTTAATCCCCAAAATGATCCTCCTAGGTTGGCAGTGGTGTTCTCCTTTTTAAAGGTAAGAGAACTGTTGTTGGGGAAGTTAGTGACTTGCTCCAGTCACATGGCCAGTGAGGACAAAGCCAGGATTAAAGTATGGATTGCAGGACTCCCCAGCCCAGGTTGTTCAGCTAACCCCGTGACCAGGGCGTGAGACCGGGATAGCTGGGAGAGCTTTAGGAGACAAGAGCCATCCACTGGGTACATAGTTGCTGTCATTTGCTTTGAGGTTTCCACCCCATGTCCAGAGGTCACTGCAGGAACCAGGGAGAAAGCAAAGAGAAGTTGGGAATGGAGATATTTGAACAAAATGAAAACTCTTGGAAGGTCAAAGGGCAAAAATGTGCCTTTCTTTCTATCTGTTGTTATTTTACTATGTTGCCTTCTAGAAGGTGAAGGAGATCGCCAGCCATTCTAGTTTCTTACAGGAGGTTTTTTAAGTAGAGTGTCTTGGTGGAGGCTTCAAGGACTCTGTTCCTAACACAGATGACACCTGGATGGTCTTAAGAATCAGTGTCCTGTTGTTTAAGGAAGAGATTGTTTTACGTGTATGTTAGGCCTGTGCCGAGTGAAATGCTATTTTGGATAGGCTTCCTAAGTAAGTGCCCTGGGAGGGCTTGTTCTGAATGGAAATCTGATGAGGTTACTGCTCTGATAAGATCCCTGCATGGGTTCAGCTAATCCCCTCCTGCCCCTTCCCACCCCCTCGCTGACTGTGGGTCCTCATCCCCAGAGCTGTGTGTGACACCCTGCCTTGCCCTGTCTGCCTGCGTCACCATTCCACTTAACGTTGCAGCCTTGGGAGCCCCCCCCTACTCCACCAGGAAGGTCTCCCCCCTTTCTTGCTGCTTCCCTTCTGTCATCTTACTGCTCTATGATTGTATCTGCCACCAGGTTGCAGTACTGGCCAGACTCTGTCCTGTGTTCCTCAGAGCATGACCTCACCCAGTCTCCAAGATTTCACTGGTTCCGCCAAATTGGTGGTTGCTTTGAGTTTTCAGTTTGAGGAATGTATGTTGTTACTCTATTAGAAATGTAACTTCTTGAAGAAAATAAACTTCATTTTGTGGAAACAGATTGCCATTTCTCTGCTCAATTCTTTTTAATGGTTTTCTGTGGCATTTATAATAAAATCCCATCTCCGTGTCCTGGTTTAATAAGATCTGCATGATCTGGCCCCCACCACAGGTAGTAATACTATCCCCCTGCCCTCCACCCCTCGCTCAGGCCCACTCTGTTGCTCAGACAAGTCAGGCTTGTTTCTGCCATAAACCTTTGTATTAGTCCCCCTCTGCATGGTGTATATTCCCTTGATCACTACCCTCTTGAGCTCCTGGCTCAGTATCTTCGAAATACTGGGAATCTTCTGTCCCATCGTCCTGCTTTGCTTCTCTGTTAATACTTTGATACCTGCTGTTTTTTCTGGTTTGTGTGCTTGCAGCCTTCCCCACCAGATAGCGGAGCCCCTGTCCATCTTACTCACTGCTACATATCCTGGCACATCGTAGTAAGTGCTCAGTAAATACTCCTTAAGTGGGTAGAGGAGGAGAGAGTCTGATGGAGGGACACAGACACATTCTCTATACTGTCTTATTTCTTTTTTTTCTCTTTCCCCACAAATGTTACCTATTAGTGTTGTTATGACATGATCCTTTCTTGGTCCATAGACGTTTGCCTGGAATTCTGTCCTTAGAAACTGGAGTGACTTTATAAGGACAGTTCCAATTATGGCATAGCCTCTGAGTGTGGACTCTTTAAGAATGACACCAAGCAAGTCTCCTAGGAAGTAAAGAGAAGAAAGTGGAGAGTCAAAGCCTGGGGTTTCCAGTACAGTCTGCCAAAAGCCCGTGAGCCCACTTCCTTCTGCTCACCCAGAGTCCCTTCTTCAGCTACCTACTGTTCTTCCTTTTGCACGAACAAGCCCCCTCCTCAGCCCTCACCCCACTTGGGTGGTTGTCGCTCATGTCCAAGCATGCCTTTATTGTTGCTGTCCTAAAACACACTCATATGGTGCCCCTCTTTACTTCCCCCTCCGGGCGCTCCTTGTTGTCTGCTCCCTTTCAGAGTAAAATCCTGAGAAGGTTTTAAGCCTCCTGCCTTCAGTTTGTCTTCGCTGTTCTCTTAAACAGTTTACCCAAACCGTTCTCGCTAAGGTCTGCAGTGATGCCGCTGGTCCATTCGCAACTCTCCTCTGCTTGATTCTCCTGCACCCCGTGACCAGATGTTCTTCTCTCTTGGAGACACTTTTTACAAGTGGCTCCCAGTGTCCTTCTCTCCCACCTCCCTGGTCCTGCTCTCTCTCCCTTCTGACCTGCGGGGGTGGGGAGTGCCCTCCAGCCCAGTGCTTTGTACTCTCCCTGGGCCATCTCATTCAATGTCATGACTTTGAATATGCTGGCAGTTTCTGACTTTTTATCTCCAGGGCAAAAAGACCTCTTCCCTAGCCTTGGGATTGTGGTATCCGCAGTCGGCCTCACATCCCCACTTAGATGTCTGCTAGGCCCCTTACATCTAACATATTACAAACTCAGCTGACCTCCGCTTGTAAAACTGACGCCCTTGTCACACTTACCCACTTCAGTTGATGACAGTTCTGCCCATTGGCTCAGGCCAAGAACCTTGAGGCCATAGCTGACCCCTCTCTTACCTCACACGCTTGCCTTACACCACACACTCTTACATGAATCCAGGAGGACATTCTGTGGTCTCCACTTTTGTAACAGTCAGATTCCCACCTCTCCTGCTGTCTCCCTGGTCTGAGTACCATTGCTCCTCACCAGGTGTCCCTTGCCTGGGACAGCAGACTCTCACTACAGTAGAGTGGCCTTTTAAAAGGTAAGTCAGAACACACCGCTTTCCTGTATAAACCTTTTCATGACTAATTATACCACCTGATTTAAGACTTAGGTGATAGCTATAGCAATCAAGAAAAGTGTGGTCCTGGCAGAGAAACCTGCACATAGATCAGTGGGACAGAGAACTCAGAGGTAGACCCATGCAAATACTTCCAACTGGTTTTTGACAAAGATGCAGAAGCAATTTGATCAAGGAAGGGCAGCCTTTTCAACAAATGGTTCAGGAACAACTGGACATTAGTAGTCGAAAAATAAATCCTGACCTAAACCTCACACTTGATAAAAAAAAAAAAAATAACCCCAATATAAGTCACAGATGTAAATATAAAATGTAAAATATTTTGAAGAGATTTAGGCAGAATTCTTAGACATGACAGTGCAAGTGTGGTCCATATAAAAACAAATGGATAAATTGGACTTCATAAAAATGAAAAACATTTGTTTTTTAAAAGACCCTCTTAAAGGAATGAAATGATAAGCCACTGACTGGCAGAAAATTTTTTTCTAATCTCGTATCTGACAACTTATATCCAGAATATATAAAGAATTCTCTGAATTCAACAATAAGGAAACAATCCCAATACAAAATGGGCAAACGACTTGAATACACATTTCTTCCAAAAAGATACATGGATAGCAAATAAACACATGGAAAGATGTCCAGCATTATTAGCCACTAGGGAAATACAAGTTAAAACCACAGTGAGATACCACTACAGACCTCTTAGAAAGGCTATGATAGGGGTGCCTGGGTGGCTCAGTTGGTTAAGTGTCCAACTCTTGATTTAGGCTCAGGTCATAATCTCAGGGTCATGGGATCAGCCTTGTTGGCCCATGTGGGGCTCCGCGTTCAGTAGGGAATCTGCTTGAAATTCTGTCTCCCTCTGTCTTTCCCACCCACTTGTGCATGCACTCTCATGCTCCCTTTTCTCTCTGACATAAACCTTTTAAAAAGGGGGAGGGGGGCTGTGATTAAAAAAAAATACTGGTAACCCAAATGCTGGCGAGGATGTGGAAATATTGACTCTGGCATGCATTGCTGGTGAGAATGCAGAATGGTACAGACACTCTGGAAATCAACCTGCTTTTAAAAGTTAAACATATACTTACCATATGAGCCAGAAATCATACTTCTAGCCATTTGTCCGAGAGAGATGAAAACTGTGTCCATCTGATAGCCTGTACACAAGTCCTAGCAACTGGAACAATGCTGGTGCAGAGACAGGACTCAGTATTTACTGACTGAATAATTAAGAGTTTGTAATTGTGAAAGATTAGAGAATTGATATAAGACGGCTGTTGGCTAGTAGCTTTATGTGTCATATCCCCCAACTGGAAACAACTCAAGTGTTCTTTAGCGCATCGATGGTTAGGCTGGCACATGCGCAGAGTGGAGTATGACTCAGCACTGATAAGGGAACAAAGCAACCTGAGCGAATCTCAGGGTTGTTGTGCCAGGTGAAAAAAGATAATCTCAGAAGATTGCATGCAGTGTGATTCCATTTATGGGACGTTCTCAAAATGGCGAGATGACAGAGTGAGGAACAGATGAGAGGTTATGGGGTTGACTGAATGGGCAGGGGGGAGCCCTTTGTGATGGTAGAGCTGTAGCGCATGGCATACATGTGGGAAAGCGCTGCATGCCGGGACACACCGGACAGACACGTGCGTGTCCACAGCAATTGGCTGAGAAAGTCAGTCTGCTGACCTGGGTTACGCCAAGATAATGCTCTGTACTTCTGTAAGATGTCATCCATTGAGGAAGTCTGGGTGATGGGTTCATGGCACTGGTCAGTACTGTTTTTACAACTTCTTGTGAGTAACTATTTCAATGTCGTTAAAACAGAAAATACCTTCAGTGGCTCGCTCTCCCTTTCATGGTTAAAGCCAGAGTCTGTTTGATGGCTGCAGGGTCCCGTGTCACTTGGTACCAGTTCCATCTCTGATACTTCCTTCTGCCGCCTTCTTCCTGTCATGTCCCGCTTCAGACATACTGATGCCCTTGTTCTGTGAACGTGTCAGGACCTCTCCCACCTCAAGTACTTTGCAATGGAATTTATTCCCCCAAATAGCTGCATAGCTTGCCTGTTTGTCTTCACAGTAAGGCTTGTCCTGACCCCTGCCCCGTATTAAAGGGGAAGTTCTCCCAACCCCCTGCACCCCAGCTTCATTACCCTGCTCTATTTTTTTTCTCTTTTCTGTAGCACACCAGCTTCTAACATACTGTGTAATTTACTTATTATACTGAGTGCTTGTCCATCTCCCTCCGTGAATGCAAGAGGATACATTTTCCAGCATATGCGGAAGGATATATTTCCTGCTTTATTTCCTGATGTTTCCCAGCAACCAGAACAATGCTGGCACGTAGAAAGGACTCAACAAGTATTTATTGGATGAATAATTAAAAGTTTTCAAGTGTAATGTATTAGAAAATTGATGCAGAATGGCTATTGGGCTAGCTTGAATAATTTCCCGGCAGCTTATTTTATTTTTGCCTTGCCCTTGGATACAGGTTTGAGCCATATTTATTGTTCTCAACACTAAATAGAAAAGGAAAAATAGGCCTAAGATCTGAGGGAGAAAGTGAGAAAAGACAGTCTGGTGCCACTATCAACCCTCTTTGCTTCCCCCTTCATCGTCAACACAGGCTGTCCTGTCATCGCATCATTTGGCCATTCTAACAAGGTGGACCACAGACTATAGACTAACAGTGCCTCCTAGATCACTGCCCGCCTGCTGCGGGGCCCTCACGTTTGGTGGCTTTGCTTATTGTCCTGAGAAACGTTGGGTTGAGATGGGTCACGAGGCAAACGGTGTGCTCTTCCGGCTCCTCTCCTGGCCTCCATGTCCCCTGCTCTTTTCCCTAGAAGTAGGCCTGCCCCTTCCCTCTACCCGAAGTCTCTTCTCCTTACCTCAGAATCGGGACTTATGTTCCTTTCGGAGATAAAGAGGAATAGTTCTGTCAGTAATTACCACACTTGCTTTATTGTATCTATGGAGAGAAGGTTAGTATGGTAGAATTAATAGTATTGACCAAGGCATAATGACTAAATGCAAAATTACTTTTGATTCTGGCACCTTTTAAACCAAACATTTACCATCTCAACCCTAAAAATAACCAAGAAGAATTTTGCTTCTCTCTTCTCTAGGAGAGAAAATGTTAACAGCGTTCTGCGGGGTAATCACCAGCTCACAGCTGCATCACATATCTGTTCTCATCCCCGTGACCTTCAAGAATGCTCTCGTGTAGGCAACGTGTGTCGTCCTTGCAATACTTAGTTTCTGTTAGCTCTCGTCATTGGGTTCTGTGGCTTCGTACTATCAGGCTTAGGAATGTGATTTAATCCACAGAAATCTCTTGAAGATGAAGGGCAGGGTAGAAAGAAGTGGCGGGTCTTTTGGGTTTGGTGCTGAACTTGGCCTTAGCAGTTCATAGGGGCCGGTACTGTTTAGGTTCTGGATCAGGTTCTCTGTGGCAACAGCAGATGGGGGTGTTGGAGAAAGGGAGCGCAATCCGTGTTACTAGAATACCTGTTACAGGCCAGGCATTCTGCTGTGTCGTTTGCTCTCCCCGGGAGGCATTTATGATGTGGAAATGGAAGCTCAGAAAGATCTGGCACCTTCCTGGGTCACCTCACTAAGATGTGGCAGAGCTGGACCTTGTTCAGCTTACAAAGTACAGCCTACACACAGGTGCTGGGACAGCTGGGGTACAAGTCGCATCTTCTGGAATGCCAGCCATGACACGGGGACCTGAGGAGTGTAAGAAGGTCGATGTTAGAGCCCAGTGAGGTGGTCAGGGAGGGTCACGAGGGTTAAGGGGCTTGCAGTGACTAGTGAGGGGTCTAATTTCGCACTTTGATCAGTGATAATGGAAAGGGTTATCTATAAAGCCGGTGGGAAGTGATAATGTGCTTAATTCTTCTTTCTAATTGCCTCTCCCAGTCCAGTAACAAAAGCAAGTGAAAAAACCTTTCCTGCGATGCATCTTTATACTTGTGAAATCAGGTTATTTATAGTGCCTGACGGTCCTCCAGAACGCCCTTGTGTTTCTGCCTCTTGTGTTTCCTTTACCTAGAAAGTCTCTCCCTTATTCACCTGGGGAACAGCTGTTGAACCTTTCGTGCCGCAGTTCAAGCATCTCTCCTTAGTACCATTCCCTGGCCCCTCTTGGCCTCCAGCTCCTGGGAGTTGATCCCTCCACCTGCTGTGCTGTAGCTCCTGTATCTGGTGCTTACCATGCTTGGCCATTGTATGTCTCCGGGTCTGTTTGCTCACTAGACTGTAGCTCCCTGAGGATGGGGGCCAATACTTAGCCATCTTGCAGAGCTTGGCATGGCAGATGTATGAGTAAGTTGATGGCCTGCAAGCTAGCGGGGAGAATGCATAGACAGCCCTTGTTTAGAGTTTCCTCCCGTGATCTTCAAGGGAACCAAGGAGAAGTAATTCAGATGATGCTGGTGAGCCTCTGGTCCCTGAGCTTTGAGGATTCAGTGAGGGTGCATGCAAAGCCGTAGGCAGTGCAGAGAAACGGTGTCTGGAAATCAGAGAAAACATTTGGCTGGGCTATCTTGTTAATTTTTTCTAAATCTTGTGTAAATTGTTTATGTTCCACACTCTTTTGAATTGTTTTCATTTTTGGCTTAACTATTGCAGATAATCTCTTTAAATAAATTTTTTTGCTTAGTCATTGTTTATGGACAATATGTTTACTTGACCTTTCTTTGGCAGTGTTAAATGTTTGGATTGAAAGATCCTATTTAAAACTTT